ATGATTGACTGGGGAGCTGTACAGGGAATGCACTTGTGTCTCCATCAACAGCTGAGATATCCTCAAGCCCCCGGGTTACAGGAAATAAACAAGTATAGGGAATTCACAGGTTAAACTTGTTTGTTAATCTCAGCCTCTTTGACCGTTGACGGGAAAAATAATGGCTTTGAACATTTATCAAGCCAAGCTTGTGCAAGCAAGTGCATCTTCAAGAAAGGTTTCCCAGCAGTAACACACAAAATGTGGTTGACATTGAATGTGCTCCAGAACTGCACATTATTCAACTGGCAGTTGGGGAAAATTTCCCCACGGAGCCAATGATTGTGTAAAAAAAAGAAGAACATTAATACTCCAGTAAATTATGACAGGCATCTCTAGTTTCACTTCTTTTCATGAACAAGCCTGAACATGAAGTGCATAGTAAGCATACAATGCTGAAAACGATACAAAGGGCTTTTGCACAGCATCACGGAAGAGTTACCACACTTGCCTGTTTTACTTGTTATATTGTTACTTTTTATGTTTCATTTGGGACCAACAATGATAAAGTGGGTTTTAACTAGGAAACCTGTGAAGTCTACTTCCTCTCAGTGGTTATTCGGTGAGTCAAAATTGCCCTCAAAATACGTCAGTGACATTTACAATGAAAAAGAGAGAGTTTCATTTCAACAAATGAAATTCAACAGAAGGGAAGAGGACCAAATGAGAAACCATGAGACTTACAAGTAGTTAATACATTCGGGTTTATTTGGAAAATGACTATTCCAAATCACTCTTGCATATATTCATTCCTACAAAATAAGAAAAAGAAAAGGTGTATGATGTTCATGCAACACAGTTCTAGCTATAGGTCTTCTATTTCAATGCCAAACAAGGTGTTGTGTTCATTCTTTCTAAATTAATTTACCCAAAGGGCCTGCCTCTGTTCTGTGCTAAAACACCCCATTTATCAAATATCATCACTTTAAGAAAGGGATGTGGGAGTTGAAAGACATCTTGTTCTGAGATGATACAAAAGTGCTTTTGAAGCTATGATAAATATATCATAGCTTCAAAAACTATTATACCAAGATATAGAATGTTAAGTGTGTCAGGGTAAAAAAAACTAATACTAATACACCCCAGCAGTGTAGCTGGATTTGACCTCTTCAAACCCACACAAAGACATAAAAATAGCTCAGAATGACAGTTTTTAGCAGAGTTTCTTTGCTGCTTTGTTTGCAGCTCTGCAGGTATTTCCGTCTCTCACCGCTATAATACAAACAATATCAACAATAATACAATAATACACACAATATCAGTTTAATTTTCTTGTCAAGTCACTTGGTTTGGACTGCCTTAGGGCTTTGTTACTTCCTCCGCACAGCTTGAAAATCGGTTCATCTTTCCTGTGAATCACAGTTCTTCAGTTTTGTTTTTATCTCCAGTTCCAATGCCTCCCCCTTTTTGGGAAATCGTCCTTTGAAGACTCAGTGTGCCAGAGGTGGGATAGCTCTCTAAATGCTCTGATATTGCCTTAGTAAAAAAGACAATGAAAAGTATTTTCTATTTTTACATGATGCCTTTCAGCATCAAGCAATACAAGTTAGGAATTATAAAACACATCTTCAAAATAAAGCAAAATTTACTGATATAAAAACATTTTTTAGATTTGTTCCGACTTTCAAACTTTTAGTTTACAGTGTCTCCTTTAGTTTGTTTGAATTTATTTAGACCAAATTTAAACAATCTAAAATTTGAGACTAAATGCACAATTAAAAAAAGCTGGCCTGGAGGCAAGAAAGAACTATGGGTCATTGACAATGTGAGAAACGCATTACTTTAGGATCTATAATAAGTAAATATGCTGTTGGCCATTGATGGTGTCAAGATTAAAAGGGTCCAACGGCAAGGACTTAGTCTCAACAAGAGAGGTCGTTGATCAGAAGTTATGAAGACACATTTTTCAATGATAACTGAAACTTTGGCTTTCTAGTGAGCAAAGCCTAGGATGGTAGAAAAAAGGTTGGATATTTGTGAAGCTTAAGCCATCAGGCAGCAGTGACACATTGGCAAACTGACACTGTTTTGTATAAAAACAAAACCATATATATCAATCAGTGCGAAAACAAAGACAACTTTTCTTTTTTTCTTATCTCAGATGGGAAGAAAAATATTTTACACATTTTTTTGTGTATGAATTTCCAATCATGCACATCATCATATACTGCTGTTTTGAGATATTATATTATTTCAAAAAAGGTCACATCCGTTTTATTATTTATTTCAATTTGGCATTCTGTTTAAAATTTGGAATGGGTTACCTTTGTTCTTATATTTTAGTACCAGCTTTCAACTGGCTTGCTTCTCACTTGATTTGACTCTGCTTGAACCTCTAGAAATGTATTTAAGCACATATAAATCATAAGGATTATACAGACTTCTGAGAACAAGATTTCACTAGAAAACAAAGGGTGAGATATAAAGAGAAGCAGTGTAAAATAATTGTAATTCAGTCCTATTTAAGTTTTAAAGCTTTATCAATTGCATGTCCCAAATCTGAAATAAACACTAACATCTACTGTATATCCAAGCATTAAGCAACACGTTTTGACACAGTCAGCAATTTTTTACACAGAGTTCGGGCCTTCTTTTTGTTTAAATGTTGAGTAAGCTTATCGTTTCCTGATTCAACATAAGAAAATATCGACTCACACCCATTTCTTATCCCAAATTTGTATTCCAAAACATATTATGAATACAGGTTTTTCATAGCAACTGTACAACTTGGACCAGAAAACAAATTGAGATTTGAATTTTTTTGTATAAGTTGTACTTATATGGCACTTTTCTAGTCCAGGTAGGCACTCAAAGCATGAAAGTGATTCTTTTTGGCACATGCAAAACACATACACATGGACACCTCAAAGTCTTGCCCAAGGGCTCTTCAACATTAGGTTCACAAAAGCCAGGAGTAGAACCATAAACCTAACTGCTTAGAGACTGCTCTTCCTGGTGAGGTAGAGCCGTCCCCACTTCTCAAGATATGTAGATATTTAGATTATTAAAGCAGTAGAAAAATCTGACACAATATATTCATTGAGCCTGTGTTAACACTGACAGAAAACTGATTTGGAATGGGTTAATCTTTACATGTTGCATCACTGCAGACAAACCCTCTCCTTTTTGCAGTCAGTGTTTACACATGTTCATGTGCATGCACGAACATGCATAACAACACCTTAAGAGCAACCCGCATTTAGTCAATGAAAAAATCCCAAACCAAACAGGAACTACTTTGATTTTAATTGATAAGTTGTGGGAAGGGTTCTTTTACGATAAAAAAGATACAGGTAAAGGTACAATTGCAGATTAAGATGTGTTTTTACAGACCTCAAATAAAAAAAATCAAAACAAGATAGATAGCATAACTTCATCGCACTTAATGTATAGTTTGTTGTGCTTGTAGGTGTGTGAAGCAAACATTTCATTAGCTATCTGCTGCTCTTCAGCCTGGAAATCATGACAAAAGCATCCCTTAAATTAAAGGTTTGAAGTTAGACTATGTTCATGTGGGAGGATTGCAGGCAGATATAGCTCTGTTTCTGTTCACAGCCAGAGAGTGGTCATGTTGTACTGTAACTGTCTTAGAGGATCATCACCTCATGCTACTGATGATTAGTTTCTGTCTATTCTGTCCGGCTGATTTTTTCAGAATTGCCAAACGTTTTCACTATAGTGTGTTTCCTCTAAATTGTGGCCACTCAGGAATAACTTCTTGTTTCTTTTGTATTATTCTCATGTGTGACATTATAACGCTGAAACTAACCTTAAGGAAAAAACACACGCTGCATGTAAAATAATATATGTCGAGTTCAACTTTTGTGCTGACATGAAATTCACATTGGAGGAACATTCTGGTATTATAGAACTATAATACCAGAATGTTCCTCCAATGTGAATTTCACCAGTATTATTAGAAAGGAAGACAACTGTTCCAACAAATTTTTGTGAAGCAATGTTTCAACTATTTTACAATGGTAAACTTAAGAATGCAAAGCCATTTAATGAAGTAAAAAGTAGATAAAGATCTGGCCACCACTGGTAGTCTTTTGAAACACTATACATGGAGGGCAATGGTCAGTAAAACTAACAATCCAATTTGGGATGAAAGGTATTGGATGAAAATAACAGGTAAAGACAGTTACTTTTTGCCCAAACATTGTATACCATTACTCTAACAAAAAGTCTTCTTATACCAACAGCTCTTTCAGTGTATTTAAAGCAGTTACAATGATTTTCTTTTTTCTATTTAAATGGTACTGTCCACATCTGCAGGGCCACTTGCTTGCTTGGTTAAGCGAGTGGCCCACGTGGCCTGGGTTCACTTCTGGCCCTTTACTGTCCTCTCTCTCTCTGTCCCCTTTCTTTTCATACCACTGTCAAGGCCTTTAAAGCCAACAAAAATATTTGAATCTTCAGAGATGTGGATTGAAATCTTATAGGCAAGTAACAAGTTGCAGTTAAATCAAACTTCACTTTGTTTGCCTGTTGAATTGTCAGTACACGGTTCAGCTGTTTTTTTTCATTCATTAAGAAGAAGCAAAAATATGATTAGACTGCACAATGGCAACCCATAAAGATGTTAATCTCCGACAGAAGAAATTTGTAGCTGCTGCAATTCAATGTATATGAGAAAATAATTAATATTTCATACACTGTCCGGATTCAGAAAAAAAATCTCACAGGTACAAAAAGAGTGGTAAAAAAATTGCGCCAGACTTTTGGCATAGAACACTGTGGAGGTGTACAAATACCGTAACCCTCTGGGCACGTGTGAGTCTGATGCCAAATCTCTCCCACTTCCAGTCAATGAGAACAGATCACACTTTCACTTTCTGTGGGACACCTGTATAAATGCACCTGCTGCTCACTCTTTGGATCACAGTAACACCTCTGCGCTCCTGAACAGATTTGCAGAAGCAGCCAAGCTGAGAACAGACCCACAAAGAAACTGAGACATGGCCTCTCCAGTTGCAACTCTGCTCCTGCTGGGCATCATTTGCTTTTCTTTTGCAGCAGGTAAGACAGCTATATTAAAAGTGAGTGCTCTCTGCGGACACATTGCAGTTGTGTGTGTGTTGTGTGTTACAGCTTTTTCTTTCTCTTCCTGCAGCTGAGGTTCCGGTGGACTGCTGTCTGCAAGCGAGCCCAAAACGTTTGCCCGCGAAAAACATTGTGGCCTACACCATACAGGAGGAAGGCAAAGGCTGCGACATCAGTGCTACTGTGTAAGTACAAGTTAGGTCAATACAAATCAAAAGCTTATTGAATTTTGTGTCCTGTTGTCCTGTCCTGTTGCATGAATCTCAATCCTGACCTTTAATCTGCTGTCTCAGGTTGATCAACAAGTCTGGCAGGAAACTGTGTGCTGTCCACCCCAAAGGAAACCCTTGGGTGCAAAACGTCATTAACGCAGTGGAAAAGAGAAAACAAGCTAATCAGTAATCAAGGTAAAAGCAATCTATGTGATTCCCTGCATCTGTTATGTTCTTCTGACAAGTCTCGCTGCATTCTCTCCAAAACCCAGAATGCTCAGGACCCATTCTCACTACTCTATGTTTTGCTTTTTTCAAACAGTTGAAGAGAAATTGTGGGAAAACGTGGCTGAAGAGTGAACTCAGAGCTGCAGGCAGATACATCTCTGTTTCTGTTCAGAGCCCCGTAGTGGTCATGTTGTACTGTAACTGTCCCAGAGGATCATCACCTCATGCTACTGATGATCAGTTCCTGCTATTCTTTCCTGCTAATATTTACAGACTTGCTAAAAGTTGTCACTATTGTGTGTTTCTTATAACTTTTGGCCACTGAGGAATAACTTTAGTTTATCTCCTTTTTTGTTTTGTATTATTCTCTCGTGTGATATGTTTTATGAAAATAAGAATTCCCTTGCGTGACCCAAATTGTAAAGCTGAAACAAACCTTACAGGAAAAAATGCGCTGCTTGTGAAATAATAGATGTCAGATATAATTTTGTGCTGAAAATGTTTTGAGATTGGTTCAGAATTATTGTTGAGACTTTAAATAAAATTTTCTATGAATTTGTGAATATTGCCTCCTCTCTCTCTTTTGACATTGAACACGCGAATGAAAAATCGGTTTCTAGTATGTGAGTTCACCAACATAAATAGAAAGGAAGACAATTGTTCATGTGAAATTTTGTGAAGCAATGTTTTAAAAAAAATACTAAGGTAAACTTTAGAGTGCAAAGAAGGTTAAAGTAAAACAAAATATAAGTAAATAATGAATATAAGAAAAATGTTTTTTCTTAGACTTGTCTGTAAACTAATGGTTAAAATAGATTAGTAAATTACAGTTTCAAGTTTTAGTTGAAAAAAATTGCAATATGAAATAGCTTTTTACAATCCTTTTTTTCATATCAAGGGTTTTTAAGTGTTTTTGTAGCAGTTTCATCTCCCAGCACATGTGTTCCATCAGCCCCCATGACACTTGGCCCCTAGGAACTTACCAAAGTGTTGTTATCTGTAAGTGCACAGAGCAGCTTAAAAAACAACAACCACTTCAAGGAAGAGTTAGCACAGTGCTTTTATGTATTCCCGTAGTTGAGATTTGTATCAATCTTAAGTTAACTGGGAAATTTCTGATTCGAGAAAACGAAACACCTTTGGACTACCTTGATAAACTGTCCAACGGGAGACATGCGATCAGTGATATCTTACTGTGATGTTTCAAGATTTAGCTTTTCGGAAAATGACTGTGCACACTGTGTGTGTAGTTTTGGACAATATAACACTTTGAAGTCCATCTTTGTGGTAGTCTTTATTGTTGTCACACCTGGGGGATTTTTTGGTGTTTTCTCCTGTCTTCATGGTTGTCTTATCATTTCCTGTTTTATTTTGAAAAGTACATCCCCTTGTTTCAGGCCACTTGTGTCATATGTCTGCTTTTCTTCCCTGATCACCAATTGTGTTCACCTGGGGTTCCTCTCCCTTTACGTGTTGAATAATCCGCGTTTCCCCTTGTCTGGTGCCAGTGTGTTTCGTCCAACGTCTTACTGTTCTGGACCGAACCATAGTGATCCTTGCCATGAACCTGTTTTCTCCTCGTAAGAGTGATTTTGATTTCGTACTTTGTAACTTTTGTCATCCTCTTTTCAGAGTGATTATTGTTTGATACTTTGTTCATAACCTTGTCTGCTTCGTTTTCAAGAGTGATTATTATTTTGTACTTTGCCTTGCCTTGCCTTGCCCATCCATGCATTTGTGCCTTTATTTCTATTAAAGTTTTTGGCCAAGATCTCTGCATCTGAGTTCTGCCTCGAGTTCCATTTCTGACAATTTTGTCTTTGGGGTAAGAAATATGCTATCAGTGACAATTGTTAACCTTATTCCTACTTGTTGGAAGCTTCAGAATGAACCAGAGAAATTATCAGAGTGCGAATGTGTAATTTATTCAGGTCAAAGGAAAAGTTAGTCAGCGCTGGGCTCTTAATTGACAAAGCTCCCTGAGGATATCTGTCAGAAAAGATCCCAGATTTCTTGGCCTTTTCCTTCGGGGCTGGGCCTGCACTGAGGCTGGGCACAACCCCCTCTTATTGGCCAGTACCCTCTGAGATGATCAGGCCAACTTCCAATTCATGCAGATTCCACTGAGATGTGATTAACTGTTTGTGAGTATTGCCCTTGAATAAATCTAATGTAAAGAAGAGGAATTTGGGAGTACAACCTTAGACATAACATGAGTGCAGTGTCTGAGTATTTGGCTATAAAACCATTAGTCATTTACTTGAATTTTAGTAAAACTCAAGATAGTAATTATAAGCCATTTCTAACACAATGCTCTGATGCAAATGAGATACAATCTGTCTGTTTTGTTTTGGGAAAATGCTACTCATTATTTTTTCTGATCAAAACTATATCTTTAGTTAGAAAGCTTGTATTTGAGTATTCCATTTTAGGTTTATAAACTGAAATATATGAATTGCTGTTAACAGTTCTGGGAAATTCAGAAGCAAAGTCAGTGTCTGAAAACAGGAAGCATCTTGACCTGATGAGAATGAGCTCACTTATACACTTCTGGCTTGGAAGGCTTTACATCAGGGACTCACAAAGTCTGAACAGCGCTCTGTGGAATGCTTTCCCAGCAAACCAGTTTCAATTTCTTTAATAGTGATCAGCTGTCTCATCCATACTCCACACCAAATAATATTCCATTGGCAAACTCAGCTTATCTGAATGCAAAGTGAAATTGTAACTAGTGACACAAATGACAGTATGTGTGCTTTACATCTAATACTTAGTCAAGAACTGTGATGGAGGCGTGATGATTTGGGCTTGTTTTGCAAGCACAGCTTCTGAACTGAACATTGTACAAACAGATTCTGCCCAATGTCGGACTGTCCAGGGTGTACCTTGCCCATTGACCACTAGGATAGGCTCCAGTTCTCCCCGCGACCCCATTAGGGAATAAGCAGTAACGATAATGGATGGATGGACTCTGTCCAATGATTCCAAACACGGCACCAAATCAACAAAAAAACTTGAATACAATGATCCAAATGTCCTTTTAATGTCCAGACCTGAACCTGTTGTTAGATTAACCAAGAAGCCATAGGCATATGAAAACACAAGAAATAAATACAAAGACATATGAATTATTATCTTTGAACTGCATTGCAATGATGAAAGCAAAATTACAAAACTATGCAATAAAACATTTGCTGTCTGGTAATGGACTCAAGTGGGAGTTCATTGTAATCATATTAATTTGGGGTAAAACAGTATTCATAATTTATGTCAGGCCCCTTTTTCACCATTTTTTTGCTTGTACTAATAAAACTGAAGCCTTTCTCTGCACTACACACATTGCTTTATGATGTGTGGCATTTCGTCTGCAAAACAACACAGCAAATTATATTACTTTAATTTAAAGATTTCTTTAAAGCTATTTCCTGAATATAAGTCTAATCATTGGCAAGGCTGTACAGCTTTACAAGTGAACATTACCAAACTAACAATGGGGTCAAATGACATTGCCAGGTTCATAGAGGTCATTGTGGAGTCAAAACCAAAAGTTTTCACTTTCACTGAACTCTGCAGTTCCACTGAAACTGCCTGGGCAAATGGGATGTTACAGGCTGCAGTTTCTCTTAAATGTATACATTTTTGTATATATTTGATTTCACCATCACCCATGTCCTTTTTTTAAATGTCATATTAGAAACATTGGGAAAATGCTTTGAAAATAGAAAAAACTAAATATACTGGATAAAAATGGGGATTGGATATTGTACTCAGTAGGACTTTTTTTCTTTCAGCAAAACCTTTTAATTATTTGGCATCACCATTAATATTTTTTGGAGCAAAATTTTACGTGGGGGTTACAGTAAACATATTTTAGAAAGGTTTCCGATAACATTTGTCTGAATAAAGCCCCTTTTCAAGGATTCTGGACTCCTGCCAAGATTTCCTCCAGGGATCAGGTCAGTCAACTTTTAGTTTACTGTAACTGCTCTGACTGGGAAAGTCCCACAAAGTAAATAAAGGAAGCAGACAGTGCAAATGCTCTGATTTCCGAGAAAAAAAAAAAAAAACAGTTCTGTGAAACTGAACACAATATTTGCTCCTGATGATGCAGTTCGGAGCAATGGAATTTATTTGGAAGTTACAAATTCATTACGCAAAAATGCAAACACACCTGATTTTGTCTGATGCAGGCTTCCTCAATACAGTAGGACAGGAAGAGAGTGTTATTATTTACCGGAAAACAATAAAATACAGTTTTACTGATTTCAAAGGAATCACTGTTACCAGAGTTGGAAATAAGATGAGGAAGTAAAGTAGTGTTATGATGCGAGTGGTTCTTGTTCTTTTAATTAATCGAATCCAACATCACATAAATTGGACGTTTCAATTAAAACAGAAAAAGTTTTGTACATGCAACAGAACATACAATATAATCCTCTAAACAAATGTGTTTTCTCAACTCACTTAATTTAAATTTCACCTACAATAAATGGGAAATCAGGTGAAAAAGCTGTGCCAGAGCCACAAAATGATTGTCACAGCACAGCTGAAGAAGAACAATGCAATAAACAACTAAATAAAAGTATTAATGCAAGATTTCAAAGTGATTTATTTAGGTGTGCAGACACTCATGCTAGAGTCAAGTAGAGTAGAAGTGCTCAGGAAAAAACTTTACCTGAATGTTGAAAAATGTTACAGAAATGTGTCATTTATTTGCTGTGTGTTTTGTTTTTTTGCAGTTTTGACCCAGTGCACTTGGTAGGGATGCTGCTAGTACCAAATGCAGGGGACATAGAAGGCTGTACAACAGCAGTGAATTGCCATTTGAATATGTTTGTAAGGACATGCCAGTCAGAGAATACAACCTAAGCCATTCTTAAGTCACCCTTTATCCCTCTTGAATCCATTCCTGCAGTATTTCTAGCTGTAGCTTGCTCATTATTAAGTCCACCAATTGTAGCTTATCATGTCCTGACATGATGTCTGCAAGGTCTTCTTTCTGTTAATCTACAGTTCATCTCACTGAATTGCGCAGACAATGACAGAAAATTAATCTGTTTACCTCAGTACTTGTCAGGAGAGTCAAGAAAGTAGAGATATTGGGAAGGAAAAAGAACAATTTGTGCCCATCTGCAAAAATACAATCACTATTTTATCACGCAGAAGAAATCATTTTTAGTGATATTTCAAGTGACTGTTTGCCTGACAAGCATAATTTATCTGAGAAGTGAATGTAGAGGAAATTAAAGCCACCCAATCTTCTGCTTCATCGAAACCGTACACAAAAATCAGCACAGGACTGCTGGATGCCTCTATTAAATGTCAGGGCTTTATAACATTCAGTAGAGGTTTTGTTCTAGTATAGAGTGTTCAGTCATCTTGGCAATATTGGTATTCACAAGGCTTTGTTTCCTACAGCCCAAACCTTCCAAACGAGGAGATATTTCTCAGGGTGGGGAGTGAGGGGGTAAGAGGTGAAAAAGAAAAACTGAAAGTGGTCATTCATACATTCAGTATATAAGACGCACACAGAATCAGCCACTTCACTTTCTTTGAGTTGAGTGTTAGGAGGGAAAGCAGACTCTGCAACAGCCAATCAGCCTCAAAAGAACCTCACCAGCTGCAGCAGACATGGCTCAGCGGTGGAGTGCCAAGCTCTTCTTTTGCATCATTTTCATCACCTGCACGGGTGAGTTTTCTCAGAACTCAGTTGCTAAAATTTTCAGACCAACTTATCAGCTTTTTTAGGCTATGTTTCCAACCTGGGTAATTTCTTTGTGTTATTGTAAAAGTAACTGAGAGGTGAAAGCAAGCGGGGGATTGTTTGGTTGTACAAGGTGTGGTACTGGTAATCCCTGCTTTTTACTACTTGTATTTTTTTGTATATGAAGCTCCAATTATATAGCATAAATTGACAATAAGATGATAAAAAAAGTACACAACCTCTGTTTCAACAGAGTGATCAAAGCACCATGTGTTGGGGCTTCTGCAGCTGTTTTAACATCCTGTGAATAGGCAAGTTCCCTCAGTGAAGTTGCACTACAGGAAGTCAGTTCTGTTTTTATTTTGTTTTTCTGTCCATATTTATTTTTTTATAACTTCAAGGGGGAGCATTTACTCTAAAAATTTCTCAGGGTGTCAGTTATGCTTACTTTCACAGCTTTATGTTTGTCTTTATGCCATTTACAAAATCAATGGGAGTGAAAATTTGAGAAAAATACTAATATTTTCCATATTAAAGAAAGATGCATAACATATTCAATAACCTTTATGTCATTGATAAATGACACATTTAAATGCTTGGCTGCAGTCAAAAGAGATAATGTGTGCACAACACTGAGCCACAGAGGTGTCAGACTGCATATGCTTGGCTGCTTCACACGTTTCAAATGCATCTCAAGTTGGCATATTGATCTAATGGAAATAAAACATTGCTGTTGAACAGTGCGATGGACTGGAAAGTACCAAACTGCTACACCTCACCTACATACACCCAAACTCAGACGGATTCTTATACATACTTTCCATTTGGTCTTTACTCTTTGCTCAACCTGCTTATTCCTGCTTTGTTATCATACAATACAGCCCTGGGCTGCGTATTCTACATATATTTACAAGTGTTTCTTGTAAGTGCAAAAAGTAGTTTTTAATATCAGTTTTATGTGACACTGTTGTCATTTTGAACAAACAAACAGGGGCTTCCACTTGTAGCTCTTCCATGGTATTGCTGTCTCAAATCTCCTGTTGAAGTCATTTTTGTTAACACTGCTGCAGCATCAAAAGATTCAAACGTTTACTGGAACTGTTGTAACCTACACTTCTCCAGCATTTTGAGCCCAACAGTTTTTGTTAACTCACCTGATGGTCTTTATCTTTCAGTGACACTGGCTCAGATCCCACTTGATTGCTGTTTGGCGGTTAAAAACAGAACTCTAGACAAGACCCTTTTTGCAGACTACTACCCACAGGCTAAAGGCTGCAACATTGATGCCATGATGTGAGTTTATTAGATGTATTTCAGTATAAGAATGCTGCCTTTATTTTAAAGTTATTTGTTATCACCTTGAACCAAATGATTTGGTGGTCTTGCAGTTTGGTTACCAGGAGAGAAAAGAACCTCTGTGTCCCTCCCCATGAAGTCTGGGTGCAAAAGATCATGAGCCACATTGATTCGGTGAAGACGTGGTGCAAGAAAAAAAATTACAAGGTACTTTCAATCACTTCTGTTCCCTCACACTTTAAAATAGTACAATGTAAAATGTACATGATGGAATAAAAGTGTGAACATATCAGTTAATGTGAATATTTCTCTCAAAACTCATTTCACTTGCAGAGGGGTGAATGAGGTCAACAAAAAAAAGTCATTTTATTTTTCTCAACGTGTAATATAATATAATAAATTATACAATTCTATAAACATGTTGTCCACTAGTAGTATCAGGTTGCTTTATTTGGCTCTGTAATTGTATATGTTGACATAGAAATGAAAAATTTTGACAAAATATTGTACCGTGGTAGCACTCCGGGGATGAATGAGATCTAGACCAAAGACATGAAATAATATGTTCTTTTGGGAAATTTCCTTTCCAAACAACGCAAATCAGTCCCTTGTTCTAATTATATCTAATTTAATCCACGGACTCAAGAGCAAGCTTCAAATCTTAGCCCCAATCAATGGCTATGACACCTAATACTAAAGTCAGAAAAAAATCATGACGAAGCGCTTCATTGCAGCTGAAAAAACTCTGTCATGCTTTGTTTGACTTAAAGTGTCTGCAAAACCACAAATGGCTTTGAGTCATGAGGGTGCACATACAACTCGAAACGTACTCTTTACTCATAGACTGCAACACTTTAAAGCCATCATGCTCCATGAAAACTGATTTCTGTATAAGTGATTTGAAAGACCTGCTAAATGCTAATTGCTAAATACAACAAGTTATATAACAGTTTGGACTTGGCCCTTTGCATTTGTAGGGGAAATGTGAGGGTGCACGGTTTTTGGTGTAATGCAATACAGCAGTGTGACTGTAGAAGTCCGGGAAATGTACGGTCATTTAGATTTTAGTCTTTGAATTTATTTTGTCTCTGCAGGGAAAACGCTGCTTTGGAGTGAAGCCAGACGGGACCTTGTTTTGATCCAACAGAAGGAGCAGCAAGTCAGAGAAAAGAAAGGGTGTATCAGAAATAAATATAATCATCGTGGTTCCCGGGATACCTTCTGCTTTTTTTGGTTTGAGTTGCTATATCAATAAAACATTATGAAATACTATGTTTTGTAGGGTTATATAAGGCCTGTAAAATAATTATGTAGGAAAATCTCCAAATTTTGATAGAGGTGTTGAGAGTGTAGCCAGCTCCATAAGCTAACTTTTATGTTTAAAAGCAGAAATTTATGGTTCAATGGATTTGAATCTTGATCTGCTCCAAATAAAACCATCACCCAAATCCTGACCATATTTATGATTCTTTATCTGTGACTCTCTGCACAACAAGGTGACTTGTTGCAACCTTGCATCGCCACAAAAAACACTCACAGATTTCTTGAAATGTGTTTAGATGGTTTAAATGCCTACATTTAAATACTTACTGCTGTGACTGTTTAGTTAAGAGCGGATGACCTCAGTACTGACTAATGATTAAAAGTAGGAAATAAGATTTTTTTAAGCACCACAACTTCCTTTTCTTTACCTACAAAACATGGCAGAAAGGTACAGCTGTGGCAGTAGACATTCAAATCTGAAAGTCAACAGTGAAAGCAGATCAGACATGACAGAGAAGGACAAACACTGGAACAAAGACAGCAAAGTGGAATCAAGGAAAGGCAACCTGGAACACCATACACTGGAATGACTTACAGAGTGCAGCTGTGGTGACACACAAAATCCACTTCTACACATTTGTCATGTTAAGTAAAAATTAACTGGTAAATTAAGTGCAAAAAACTAAGAAAGAAGCATGTGTCTGGGTAAATGAATGTGTGAGCATAAATATGCAAAACACACAGCCCTAGGGCCACCTTCCAGCAATCTGAAGCCGGCAGGAAGACCCAGTCAGAAGGTCCAGAGAAGATCACCCTCTCACCACCTCCACCAGCAGCCACCCAGGCATATTATAGGGCCCAAAGCAACATATAGGACGTTACGGCCCGCACCAGCCCACCTGCACTGTGCCATGCCCAAGGCAACCCCAAACCCCGCAAATTATGGGGGGAACCCCTTGGGTGGAAGGCAGCACCCAGACTTTTGGGCCAAGGTCTAGAAACCCAACCCACAACTTAATAGACCAGCCACCCAACCCAGGGCCAGTGGCCATCATACCAAGGCCCCCGAAGGACCCCTCTTAACACTGCAAGACAGCACCATCAATGAGCCCCCAATGAGCCCCCAATGCCAAAAACCAGACCAGACACCCATCCCCTCCTGCAGAGTTCAACCCAGCCCGCGTAAACCGTGAGCACTAAATTCAAAACAGCCCATGGAGTGCAGCCAAAACACTGTACTTTTTTGTAAAGGACAACAAAAGGTCAGCTTAAACAAGGAACAGTGCTTTCAATAAGGGCCTGATATTTTATCCAGATAATCTTGAACATGAGATTTTAAAAAGCTTTTCTAGAACTTCTTCCAAACAAACTAATGTATGGATTAGATTTCACTTTCCACTTACTGGCAGAAAAAGTTGTCCCAATTATATACACAGAAAGGACATCCACTTTGGATAAGAGCCTCTTGTTAACCGGATTCCTGGCCGGCTGCCGGACCGCAGTCGGGCAGCACAGAGGAGCAACCAGCTCCTGGGGCCGAAGTGTAGTCTCGCTTACTACGGGGTTAACCCCCTTCATTTCTTGTAGCGGTGGGAGAACAAACACAGGAAGCGGGTTGGCTTTGCGATACTATGGCCTTTTATTATTTATCCTGCTCCCTCACTCACTCACGCACACGCACAACCTACTCGCACCCCCCCCCCCCTACTCTCATATCACTCTGCTTTAATCAGCAGTACGATGCGTTTTATTTGACTCTCACAATGTGTCCTCACATTTAATGAAACTGACAGTTCTTCACGCAAACATGGCCCTGACTAAGTTCTACTTTCTTTTTCCCATAGTGACACTTGTGAGTGGGTTGGGCTCTAAAGGGATTTACAAGATCATAATAGAAACCATATCTTGCTTAGTGTTTATATATAGCACCATTAGAATCCATTTGATCCGTCATAATTTCTTGTAGTACAACGTTTGGAAAAAGAAGAACATTGAAGCTATTGTAAATAGGATTTTCTTAAATTGATGCAAAAAATGAGGATGAGTCTGAACAGCTTACTGGAGCTGGCCAATTACCAAAGGTGTGGCTTTCTAGGAAAGGGAAACCTTTTTAACTTCTGTTTTCATGTGAAATATGTACAGATGTGGAGTCAATTTGCACTCTGCTAGTTTTGTTGCTGGCACTTTAGTTTATTTCCAGAAGGGTCATAACATATAAAGGTGTTTTTTAAATGTAATTGTTTTTTATAATGAGATAATAGTGGGGTTGTTCTGGATTTGTGATCAGGTAAATATCTAAAAAGATGGTCTGGGACTTTGAAGTCAAACTTGGCCGGCTGCATCAAAGTTTTTGTTTCTTTGTAAGGTGCATCCAGTCTAAGAGCTTTGCTTCACATTGTCCTGACCCAACATGTATTTGAATCTGTAAAAAAGTCCCCTTTGGGCAACTGTGGAATTATACCCTAACAAAGTTCCTGGCCCAGATCATCAATTTTAAAAATACTTTTCAGGCCCAGCTTTCATGACTCCTGATGACCATCTTTGACACTTCCCTGATGCAGGTAACAGGGCAATCTTGCCTTAAAGCAGCCGCCATCACTGTTACCAAGAAGTCAGCCATAAACAGTCTGAATATCTGCAAACCATTGCTCCCCACACTCCTCTGTGCTACCTGAGAAAACCTGACATATATGTCAGGATGCTTTTTATGGATTTCAGCTCGACATTTGACATCATCCTACCAGACACATAGGTCTCAATGTTTACGACCAGGAATACCCAGATTATTAACTTTCTGACAGATCGTCCACAAATAGTAAGGCCTGGACCACACAGATTCTCTTCCCTAATGCTCAGTTCTGTGTCTTGGGCCCCTTTTTGTTTTTCAGTTATAAATACAACTCTCTTCCCACCCCCTCCAACATCATGGTCAAGTTTGCAGATGCTATGACTGTGGTGCAACTCATTACTCATAGAGATTAAACAAAGTACAGGGAGGAGTTCCAAAGACCCACTGCATGGTGCTCAGCCAACAACCTGAGGCTGGACACCAGCAAAACAAAGGTGATGGTGCACTAGTGTACTGCATTACAGTGTGGTGCGTTGGTTGCACTTTGCTTTGAGAGGTCAGTTCAACTGGAAAAGCATTATATAAGTACAAGTTCAGTTACCACCTCTGATGACATGAGGACAAGTGATGCTATTTAGGAACCGGCCCATTCATAGAACTTCCTGTTCTCTAAAATCAATGTGATGGGTGGACTTTGTGCAGAAAAGGCATCAAATGGAGCAAAAGAGCCTTGAACGAGGTTGGAGATCAGTCAGACAAATTCAATTTAAAACAAAATAAATAAAAACAGCACCACCTGGAGGAAAAACTGTTTCTACAAAATTCATACTGTATTGCACTGCAGTGCAGATGGCAGTCATCCTAAGAATTAAAATCAACTGATGTTTAAACACTGAATAAACTAAACATTACGTTAGAGTTCTATAAACAATGATTTACCAAGAGGGCAGCCAAACTCAGAATAAGATCTCATCTTGGAATGAGATGTTCTTTGGAAAAGTATACAGAGATATTGTCAGGTTGTGGTGGGAAGAAATACTTGAAACATGGATTTTGTTGTGTGTAAAAATAAAGACAGAACCACATGAGCGTGTGATCACAGGAGCACTTTGTTGTTTAACATCCATAGTAGTTTGATAATATCATACATACAGATAATATAGCTTGGACAGAGAGGAGCAGTATCACTGATGCTGAAGATATTTACAGGCAGGAGGCAGCCAAAGAGACAAGAAGCAGGAAGAGCAGAACAATCCATTCTTTATTTTTATTTCATGCCCTTTAGCTGAGCAAAAGTCTGACCCTAAACACCCGAACCTCCCCTTCTGTCTCTAGTTTAATCTACTTCTACAAGTCTATCAGGTGTGAAATCAGTGCAGGATGCCTCTGAACATCAAACACATCCACTCACACAGGAGACTTGTGTAGCAGGTTGTTTGTGGTGAAACTAAAGCTTACACTCTCCTTCTGTGATCAACATGAAATGCACTGATAAATAACAATCTTACATACATACTGTGGCCAAAATCCGACCTTTAAAGAATTTAAATCTATTTACAATTCAAGGATGATGTAGTGTTAATTCATCTTTGGAAACCATACAGTTAAAAATCACATGTAGAAATAAAAACTGTACATTGATGTGACAAAGGGAACATTTTATGATTAAATCATATTCTACGGTAAGTCTTTAAAAAAAAAAACTCATAAGCATGAATTAATTTTATAAATATACATTAATTTTACCACATCGATTATAATGTGAAATATTTTGGATTGGGCACCCGTTCTCTCAATGTTTGCAGTATACAGCTGTAATATTAGTTAGACTCTTTTTGAACCGTAGGGAACATTTAACAATTGGGCACTGCAGCAAGGTAGCATGTACATACAATGCACATCAAGCCACCAACACAAAATGTGTGTGTCTGGGTTACCTTTACACATCCAAAAAGTATCTCCAAAATAGCTTCTCCCAAATTTTCTTGCAGATTCTGGAAAAGACGGGGCAGACAGCACATATACAAAATATATTGTAATGTTGGGACAAATATTAATCATCCTATTGTTTCTTCTTCCCTCAAGCTCTTTAAGGCATCAATAAAATATCTTACCCTTTATAAAAACAAACAAAAAAAAAAACTATGTAACAATGTCCAGAGGTGAATCTCCAAGTCCTCTAGTTCAAGAAGGCCTCAACAGATGTGTTTAGGTTTTATAATTTCCTACAAATGGTAACCAAGATGCTTATTTTTGGCTGATTCACATGGTATTTATAAATCCAAACTTCTGTGGATGTCTTGAATGCATTTCCATAGCAGTATGCATCGACATCAACACACAAACATAAAACAAACTGCTCGATGCTCTTACCCTCAAACACCATCGTTGTTGCACAACATGTGGAGAACTCCCTTTGAATTAGTGTTATAATTCAAACTAAACTAAATGCTAAACTAATTTTTTGTTATAAGTACTTTCCAACAAAATATATATACCTTTGTGCTGCAGGTTTTACTTTAGGGCTCTAAACCTCTGTTTGAATATAGGCCATTTTGAGCCATTTAAACAAAAGCATAAGCAAAATGGAAGTCAGTAATTGTTATGCAGCATTTACAAATAGTGATGCCACTGTGCAGGTTCTGTAGGAAAAAAGGTTATATTTGTTTTTAATTATTTGCTCTTAAGCAGAAACAAAAAGGAAAAGGGGAACAGGTAGAGAGGGCCTGCAAGGTGCACTTTTTCTCATTTATCAAGTTTTGTTTCCAATTGTCCATCTGTATTTCACCTTCATTCATTCAGACGTGGATCCTAAAGTTCATGTCTACTGTCTGCAATTTTATGAAAAAGCACATAGTTTTTGGCTTCTACGCAAGCAGGATCGGCTTTACATAAGTGGCAAGACACCTGAGGAATCTGTTTATTGTGACTGAGGGGGATACTTGAGCGCTGCATTTAAAGTGTAGCACAGCAAGGTGAGCGGATATACAGTACAGCAAAGAGTGGAGATCTGCAAGTGGCCCCTCCTCATCGTACCCAGATGAAGGATGGACCACATACAGACTGGACGATCACTTGGTTTAAGCGAGCAGAACAGCTCTGTGTTGAGTGTTTTAGTCTTGTTTCTTGATGTATGCATGCATGGTTATCTGGATAAACCCTTAAAACGGATAAGAGTACTTGGTTGAGCCTGCATGCTTCCGCTGAATGACTCTGATCATCCTCTTAGTATTTTCTGCAATGTTTTTTAGGATTGATTTCTGATGTATGAATGGTTTCTGATTTCAGTGGATGTGGGGCAGCTAATCCTTCAGCCCTTCAGTTTGCCTTCATTCTCAGGGTTCTGTTAGCGGGGAGGGCTCAGAGCTGCATGAGTCCAGTGGCATCCTGACTGTCCTCCATGCTGTTGAGAGTGACATAGACGATGGGAACCAAGCCTCGGGTGGAGCCCAGGGAGCAGAGGAGCCAGTCAGGGTCAGCCTTTCTCAGAACCTGTAGAATGTCGCCCTTGTTGAAGCTCAGCTGGTCGGGCTCAGTGGCAATGTGGTGGCATAAGGCTCGAACTTCACTAATATGAATAGAAGACAACATGAAACAAAATTAAATAAATAAAATCATTTGTGAGGCTGAGGACATAAAATCAAATTCTAGATTTATGTGGTGTTTTTCTGAAATAATTGCTCACCACACAGACTGTTGGGTTTCGGCTTGATGGCTTGACACCGGATCTGTTGTGGTTTGGGTGTGAGTGGGTGTGTCAGGACGCTCTGTCTTCTTCCCACCCCCTCCAATTGTCAGAGCCATCAGTTCAAGAACAGATTTATCCAAACCAAGCCATCCTGATGGTGGTCTGACAGTAAAATGAAATGGAAACATTGATTTATGTCATAAGACTTTGAGAACAAGTTGGTGTTGGTTATATCTCTAATAATAATCAAATTTTCAGCAGCGATCCTTCATCATTGTCATAATTTTTCTCACCTGGTCTTTTGGGATTTTGGCTTCTGTTCTGCTCCCTCCACTCTCAGAGGAATACCAACACTTGAGCCAAAAAGCCTTCCCCAGCGTAAACTCTGCCCCTGTGGGGGGCTCTCTTCCTGGACTGCTGCTTGGGCTGCCATCTCAGACACCTCCAGAGGATTTGTGTCTTTTTCCTGGTTGAGAACTGACTGTGGGGGGCTGCCCATCCATGAGGGCCTCCCCCCACATCCAGCGGAATCTCCGCCTGAGGTGCTGCTTTTCTCTCCCTCCCCTTCATGCCTTGACTCAGCACCCTCCACCACACCTTCTCTCGCGGGTGGTGCTTGGCCCTGTCGTCTCTCAGAGGACCTCTTCCTTTTCTCAGTCTTCACAAACTTTGAGCCTTCAGTGGACTGGTCGATATAGACCTGTGAGGACTGCATGAGCTGGTACCACCAGCCAGCCTGTCTGTCCTGATGCTGCCGTCCCTCACAAGCAGGTTCCCTTTCTTTTCCCATTCTGCTGTCCTTTTCCTTAACACCCTCATTGTCTCCATTGCTTTCTTGTCCCACACCTTTAATCCTCTGGCTTTCTGACTCCCTCCCTCTCCAGAGGCTGGGAGAACCGTTTTCCATGGCTGCAGATCTGCTAACAGGTGTGACCTTCACCCTCAATTTCACCCCTGCTGCTTCATTTCTTGACCCAGATCCTTCCATTCTAGGCCACGTCCCCTCTCGTCTCAGTCCCGCCCTCTCCCTTTTGGCCTCAACCCTTGAGTCTCTGACCATCCCACTAACGGTGGTGCTCCAGCCCCTCATGAGCTGGAAGGTGGAGCGACTTGCCTGATCCACACTCTGGCCTGCAGAGCATAGCTGCTCCTTGTGACGAAGATGCTCCTCTCCCTTTTGGAGGAGATGTGGCTCAAACAGTAGGTCCAAGTCAAAGGGGAGGAGTGAGAGTGGCTGCAGCAAGAGTAGGAGCTCCTCAAAGAGCGTCTGGCAGGCTCCATGCGACAGGGGAAGGAAACCCCATGGGCTGTAGTGTGCTGCTACAATGTCTGAGAAACATGAAAGAAAAACAATCATCACAACAAGACAGAAAGCAAAAGGACAACATAACAAAATCTTGAAGGTTATAAACAGAAAGAAGTTACCGGGGACTTACCTTCATGTGTGTAGAGGTGATTGAACCAGAATTCCAAAGATTTGAGGCTGAATTTGAATGAACATAACATATTAACACTGTAAACTACAAAAGAAAAACTTTCAGTCACAAATGGTTTAATGAACAATTTAAAACCACGTCAGTGCAAAATAAAGCAGTTGCTCTGAATGACCCAGTTGACACATCACAAGCTTTGATTCCTGCACATGGCAACAAGCAGCAGCTACATGCAAACACACACTGACGAGTCAGGACATTAAAACCAAGTAATGAAAAAAACACCATAAATAAAAAACAAAACATTCCGTTCTTGAATTTAATGCATCGGAGTCTCCCCAAAAATTGTGTAAAGATAAGGGTTACTTAAGGATATCCATATATACATGATAATTTCTTATGAGCTCCCAACTCGGCCTGTTGAAAGTGGTACAACTCACAGCTTACAGATTTAAAGGATATGATGCAGATTGTTTGGTGCAAAACTCACAGAATACCATGTTTATACTCCCTTAGAATGGGAAAACAGCAAGAAAGACACATGACTTACTTGAGCAAGCCGAAGATGAAGGCATTCAGCCTCATGCTGTGGCTTGTGAGCTCAGAGTATTGGCTGACTTTTGAAAACAAGCTGTGGAGATGGCGTGTTGATGGGCCTGATGGGAGACAGGTTTAATCAAGGTTTTCAATAATACACTTCCTCATTCTTCAGATATTTCTAAATCACAGATGTATTCTTTCTTTTTGCTGTTCTACTAAGACTTTTTAACTTAGAAACTTCTCAAGAAGAATCCCCAGTAGAAATTGACCAACTAAAAAAAAAGAACATAATTTCTCATTAGAAACTTCTTATACCACCCAGGTTCTCACCCAGCTGGGTGGAGGCCTCCACAAGGTTCCAGGGCAGACAACGCCGCTGTCCAATGATCAGGTCCAGAACAAAGGCCTTTAGACCGTCCTGCAGCACGTCATGCAGGGCCGGACACAGGTACTTCAGGATGAGGTGACCCACGTTGGGACTCACCCAGCTGTTCCCCAGCTTAGCCTGATGAGGTTTGAAGACAACTTGTTTTTGTCTTTGTAAAACACTCTACATTCTTTTCATTTCATATTTGCATAGAACTAAATAGTCTGATCAGTTATTACTTTTTAATTCTGACCTGGATCTTGCATTCATTCTCTCATGAGCTTTGCATAAACATGATTGTGCCCAAAATCTTTGAAAGGGTTTAGTAGTCCATTAGTAGACCACTAATTGCAATTGAAAGTGTGTGCAAATTCTTGTTGCTACTTTATTATTCCTATACGTGTCCACATGATTGTGGGTATAAACTTTTCAGAATAGTAGCTTATAAACAATATTTATCATGCATGCACTATTGTGACCATAAAAAGGCCATTTTGGAGGCGGTGTGGTGCTCAGCTGCAGAAGGGGAGGTGTGGGAAAGGCTCAGGGGAGCAGGGCCAGGGGAGGTGATTGGCATACCTGGAATCAGTTGCATAATCGAGGCACCCACAGTGGCTGAAGGCCACAACTGGCTTGCCTCAGCCACCGTGGGTGCCTCGACCAGTTCTCCAAGACAGGGGTTTGTCGTAAGACTTTTTTTTCCTGCACGGACATACACTCACGCGCGCACACACACACACCGTGGTGCTCAGCTATACTCGGTTATTCAGTAGCTGGATCCTGGTCTGCATTCTTTCCTCCACCAGGTCCAGCACGCTACTCTTTTAACAAAGAGAGGGTGATAAGCCAACTGATTCCAGGTGTGCCAATCACCTTTACTGACACTGTTCCCCTGAGCCTTCCCCACTGCAGCTGAGCAACACGCCCTCTCCACAGCTACAACAATAGTTAACCATTCTCAGATTTCAGCATTTGTGTGCCACCACTGTTTAGATCACCTCTGCGGTTGCAAAAAGTGCACTCATCTGAGGTTAAGAAGGCTAAGATACAGTGAGTAAAGATGACATTAACACAACAGCTCTGCTGTTATTGTTTTAAATCAACTCAGGCAAACAAGACTAATGATGGGCAGAATCAAATCAGTGTTGGCAAACGGTAATACACTTTAGTAATCTGTAAAACATTTAATTATCTGACCTATTTGTGTCTTTTGCAGACAATTACCTGTACCGGGAGTGCACTCCTACTGAAATCGCAGCATGAAAAATGGCTGCTCAAACCAGCAAGAATCTGTACTAATGACACACCAAAGGTGGTGTCACCCAGGGATCTGGACTCATGGAACACATTGGTCATGGTGGCGGAGATCAGAAATCATGCAAGCCTCATGGACATAGCCAGAAGAATGCCACATTGGGAGTGGCCCCAGGTGTATCACAAAAAATGCAGCGGTGTTTTCACCATGAAAAAATGTTTAGATGCTCTGGCCCAGATTGTGCAAGCTGAAGGTGAGTTCAGCCAGAAGGAGCACGAGCTACACCAACCAGCTCAAGGGTTTTTGAGGAGAAATGTATATTCTGTGACAAAGTCAGTAAGTAAATCAAAGGTCAGAAGACCTGTGAGAACCTGTTAAAGGGCTGTGAGCTGCAAGTAGACAGTAAGATACGAGATTCAGCAATCAAACACTATACCCAATTGTCATGTTTCCACTTACCGGTCCACCTATTCAATGCATGAAAACCACCACTAAGCTTGTTAGTAAGCTTAGTTAGTACTGTTGTTAGTACTTGTGTGTAATGGTAATCATGCCCAAATGTTCACTAGAGATGTCTACGAAGTAAAACAAAAATAATTAGAATATGCCCACCCGTTAAATTGTGGGAGGCCAATTTTGGGGTCTGGGTTATTTTTTATTTATTTCCAACAAAAAAGTGGTGTTCACAACAGAAGTTATAGCCTCAAACTTTAAATTTAACGTGATTTCGCAAACATTGTTGGCTTCTTTTTTTTTCTTGAACTTGGTGGCATTCAGGTGTTTAGCCAGCATCACTGAATTTATGCAAGACTTAATAAAGAACCAGAGTGTAAAGATTCAAATAATGTGTCACTCAAAAACTAACGCTGATCTACTTGCTACTTGCGCTGAAGTCTCCTACCTTCACATTTGGGACTCGACTGGTGCCAAAGTGTGCCACGATCAGATCAACTGCTGTGTTCACTGCTTTAACCAAACCTGGTCCAATGAGATGAGAGAAAAAAAAGAGAAAATCTGCTAATCAGGCTTTATACCTGATACTGCAATTAATTAGTTTATCCCTATATTAATGTGAGACATCATCCTGCAGGACACTGGAGAATTAGTAGATCAAGAGTCTAAAAAAATAGTATGCTGTGCAACTTTTTTTATGCATCTATCCACAAACAAATGTATTCTGGAGCTGTGTTATGTTTTCTTCAGGTGAATGAAGCTCATCAATATAGTTTAGCTCAAAGATCACACACAGAGCCGCACCTCTTTTTTGCATCAGGTCTACAGAGACCTGGGGCTGTGAGGGAGAGCATGAGGAAGAAGATGATGCATCAGGAGAGAGGCAGAACTCCTCAGGAGGCTTCTCTGTCATGGAGAAGTAGTCGTGTAGGAAATCACTACAGCTCTGCTGCAGCTTAGCTGACTGACCCCCTGCAAACACACAGACATACACAGTTATTTAAACACTTTAAAGGTAGGAAATCAATGTAAATCTTCAAGTATTTTCCTCATAAATTCTAAACATTTTGGACCTTAAGCTCCCTAAAGATTCACTCATATTCCAATCTACCCAATTTTTCCCCGTAAAATTGTTCAAGTGACCAATGTTGTCAACAGAGTCATGAGCACCGGTTAGATGTCCCATCATGTGGCTGGAGTGAGCTGCTGGAAAATCAAAGACATTGCGCCTGGTTGGTCGGGCTCCCTTGCTCCGTCTCAGTTCTGTGTTACCAGAGACAGGGCCTGATCCTGCTGAAGAGTGGCCCCCAGAGACCCTTTCCCCCCCAAGAGGGTTTCGACGACGGTACTCCCTCCATTTGAGAGCCTGGGGAGAGAGGTGGTGTGCTGTCGGGGAGTGCAGATGTTAGGGTAGTGATGGCGAGGTCAGGTTAGGGTTAAATTATGGATTGTAAATGATAGCAGTAGAGGAGGGGCACATGGAAAGAATGATGGGAAGACAGGAAAATATGGAAGTTTGTGCAAGATGGAGAGAAGAAAGAAAAAAGAAGAGTTACAATGTACAGGAACTCCTTTCAAATGACAAAAACATTAACAATTCAAAGCTGGTTTTATACAGGACTAAACTGTAACTGGAAAGGTCTAAATGGATTTAATAAAAATGTATTCTAAATATTACGTAACAGGACACAGAAGTTCACCAGGTCTAAACACTAGATAAATACAACCCAGGATTTAAATATAACATACCATTTTGTGTTCTGGCTCCAGATCCTTTGCCTCCCTCAGGAGTCTTCCCAGAGTCAAGACCCAGTGGACTCAGACTATCGCTATGGAGAGCTGGTAAGCTGTACAGAGGTCCATGATGCAGACACTGCCCCTGCACTGTTGGCAACATTGGTGGCACGACTCCTCTCTTCACCCCCAGGGATGGAGGTGTCTGGGTTAATGGTGCTGAACCACCTCCCTTTTTACCTGTCAATGGGGTGTGCAGGGGGTCGAGGCCTGCTGAAAGTGGGCAGGAGGGCCTGTGTGTACACTGAGGGTTTGGGGTGCAAGTCTCTGAGCTGTGTGCCCCCTGGAAATGAACTGGGGAGTAACTCCCAAGAGGTGAGGGCCTGACTAATTCCATTGGGGGGGCTGCTGTGCTGAGAGAACCCTGGTTGTTGTGTCCATTGCCAGCTGTGTCGTCACCAAATGGACCTCCAGAGCTGGAGCTGGTGTGGACCTGCATCCCAGAATGATAACCCGTTAACAGGGGCAGTAGAGGTTTGGCCTGAGCGGGTCTGGATGTGAACTGGTGTTGGAAGGTGAAAGGCTGGATGGGGAGTGTGGTGGGCCTCTGATCTTTACTGTAACGGACCACCGCTGGTCGGCTGTCTGAGGAACTTGATAGACCTCCTGGACGATGACAGTCAGAAAACATAGGAAAAGCAGAGGCATGAACTTGTTAGTTCTAATAGCAAAGAAGAACTTTGTATTGGCATTTGCTAATAAAGAAACATTGAAATAAATTGTTGATGCACATGAGGAACAGATTATAGAAACTTTTGTGCTTTATTTAACTTGAAATCTACCTTTCTAAACCCTGATTCTACTCAAAGATTATTGCCATCAAATCAGAATCCCAATTTATAACTAATGTCTGTTCTTGAGAAACCCTGCTGAAAGAATAATGACCTGTAAAGTGCTTATAATCGTACAATAGGGAAAGTGACTGTTAACCTTTTAATGTAACATTTTAAACATAAAATATTCAGTGTAAATGCTGTGTAATTTGAAATAAGGTGCATAATAGACAAAAGTAAAAAAAGAAAAGAAAGTAAGGTCCAAGGTTCTCATTAGCCACCAAAATTAAAACAACTTCGCTTAAATTTGTCCTCAATTTGAAGTTAATCTGTCCTTTGCTAAATCACAAAGCAATTCTGGAAATTCCAAAATATAAGAATAATCCATTTTTAATGGCTTTGAATGATTATTTAGCCCTGGCTGCAAGTTCAGAGCAAAGATGAGTAAAGCATAGTAATGCCCTCATTTTCAGAAGCTAAAATCAGAGATAAAAACAACAAAGCAGTCATAATCATTTCAGCTAAATATCGCACAAGCATCAAAGTTAGAACTGAAACCAAAAAATAGAAAAATTGCCCAGTCACAAAGCTCAATAGCCGCTATTGCAGCCAGCCATAGCTAAACAGTGTCCATAACACTGCCCAAAGAGGCCCACATGCTCACACAGACGAATTACCTATCCAAATAAACAGAAAGACACACTGACACAACCTGAGAACACTGCGTCAGGAGAGACACCACCAAGGAAAAGGCTCTTTTTTTCAGCAATGACTCGAAAGTGTATTTCTGTGTGTGTGTCCTCAGAACCAGGGAGCTGCATGACAGAGTGCGTGTGACGTCAGCTGTGTTGCGCAAGCTGTTTGTCATCAGGGGGACGGCCCATCATTGCTGCCTGAGCTAGGCGCAGTGATATGTCTTGGCCATGCAGGGGCAACCTTCAGCTTCTGTTAGGGCTTGAAAAAGAGGGGGGAGGAGTGTAGTGTTCTCTACAGTCCCAACTTACCATTGAGGAAGGAGGAGAGAAGAAAACTCCTTCGCTGCCTTTCTTTGTATCAAATCCATCATACCTCTATGCTACCCTTTTGAGCTTCTCGTCCTCACCCCATAAAGCCATTAGACAACACTGGTCTCTCTTTTGTAGCTTTGGGCTTCTTAGTTGAATCAGGCTACCTCTCCAAGGCTTTAAACAAAAGGCTGTGTGGAAACAGCACAACTGACTGAGTTGAGGGCTTATGAATAATATATCGTATGAGATGCTATGCAGCACGTCGTTATAGCCCCGAATCATCATCTTCATCTTTTAGGATAAAGTGAAAGAAATGGAAGAACAATCTCAAGTTCTTATCTCTAAATGGCTTTATCTGGTTTCCCTTTTAAGCCATTTCCTGGTTTTCCAGGAAATGGCTTAAAATGACAAATTCTATTTGTCCAAATCAAGCTTTGACTAATGGCTTCAATATGTGAACTGACATCCAGTGTTCTGAATCTTATGAAAAACACCAAATCAAATTTAATTTGTGTTTCAACATCAATTGATGACTCCTAATGTTACAAATTCACACCAAATCAAATATCAATTCAAAATTATATTATTAGAATAAACATGGTTTTAGAATGGTCTTCTGTACGAAGGACACAGAGTAAGATTTCAGCATATGCTGAGAATAAGATGAGGGTAGAATGATTCAAAATTAAATGGTGATACACTTTTGTCTTAATCAATTTGCAAATCAATAATTAAGTAACATAACTCCAATCAGATATAAAATTGGAAAGTTTCTGAGCTGTTTTTCTTAGCAAGTCTCAAGGATGTTAAAATCATAATGGTCTGTCCTGGGACATCCTTTCCGATGGCTTTTACTCTTTAAAAATCCCAGATGTGATTAAAAAGAATTCGAGGCATGGACGCATCATTGTATCTCCATATCTCAAGACCAAGCAGCTGACATTAGCTAGTATTGGCTATATTACTTTCAAATCCTACTGGACTCCATTGGTATCGATAGCCTCAATGAAGAACTAAAGTAAGATGTAATTGCTGAAACATTACAACAATAATATCTTCTTCTGTTGCAATTAGGTAGACAGCTTTCACAGAGCCACAGCAGTCTCTGTTTTAGTGATCAGTCAGGCCACTGAGCACCACAGATCACTGTTACACACAGACACTGGGATGTAAATGTACAAACACAAAAACACACAAGGTGATCCCCATAGTTATACAGAGTGCAGCAGGGTTCTCAGCATTGTTATCTTCCTTATCTACTGATTGTTATTCAGAACATGTTTGGCCCACTTCAACCTTTCATTCCTGCTAAAGCTGAGGATACACTCTGCATCAGTAGGCACTGAGAAACATCACATGCTGGCACAAGGGTTTTGTCCCTAGAGCAACAAGAAAAGTTTAAACCCTGCACACAGCACATACTTTCTCTATGTCCATTTCCATATGCTCACCAAATTCAATTTCCTTTCACTAAACATATGCTGCAGTCTGATAATGTCTCCTCTTTCATGCTACTTTCAAGCCCAAAGGCTAAGGTGCTATTTGACACAGGTCAAGTAAAATGATAATTACTATACAGTAACTGAACAGGATGTAGGTAGATAATAGAAGGATATAAAGCTCCTTCTGAGATCAACACAAGTTAACCTTACTCTTAAACTGGGAACTGTTTTAATTTGTTATCCCTCTAGTATTCTGTCAGTTTAAAACTCTTCTTATACAATTAATAGTGACATACCCTCTGCTTTCTCCCATGTGTCCTGTGTCTCCCTTGCCCCTTCCAGTTGTCGTTCTATGTCGCCTTGACTGTAACATCTAGTAAAAGGAATAGGTGACATAGCTGGACTGACGACCTCCACACACTGCTCTGGGATGGGAGAGAAATCCACAGAGGAGTGTGAGTGAGTGGAGTAAGTAGAAGAGAAAGGGTCGGCAGCTGACTTCTGTAAAGGGGATCCCCCTGTAGCCCCAATCCTCCTTTTGCTTCTAGCGATCTCTGCGAAGGAGGTGACGCGTGGAGGAGGAGTTGGGACCTGGGCGGCACCTTCACTGAGCCGAACTGGGCAGCTCAGCATGCGCTCCAGGGAGCCGAGCCGCGGAGAGGGGGACTTGTCCAGATTGCGATCATAGCTGCGAGAACGTGGGCGACTTCCTGAGGAGGCTCCATCTCCAATGACTCCCTTTCCAGCCAAGGGAGGTGAAACGTTGACATAAACCTGGCCTTCTATCATGGCTGGAGCAGTCTCAGCCCCACCAATTGCCTCCTGATTACTCTTCTTTCCCTCTTTGTCCTCTTTGTTATCATCATCATCTTGCTGAATGAAGAGAAACAATGTACAAAACGGAATAGTGAAACATTTATGTGCCAAATATGGGAGATAAAAGCATAATTACAGAGATAAAATACACAGTGAACCAAGGGTTGGAGAGAATCTCTTCAAATCAGACATTATAGCTGGTGGAGAAAGATACACTACTGGTCTGGTTTCAGCAAGCCACACACACACCTGGCAGAGACTCTTTAAAGTATGTGCGCTGTACCCTGTGAAAGTACGACAAAATGGTGGGATTACCGTGAGACTCAAAGACAGATGTACTATTACTGACCCTTTAGCTTTTATAGAACTCCAAAATTAGGCTTCAGACGAAACAGCACATGACTACAGACAGTCTGAAACAAGTCAGTGACAAACTGGCATTAGACTTATTGTCACTGTCATAGGACCTTCAGACAGGATTATATACTATAAAGTGTAACATATATATATATAATTTCATACATAGTTTTTTCAATATTCACTTTGAGAGATGACTAAGAGGAAGGGGGCTGATTAACAATAGTTTTACAGAAGATAAAAGCACCACAAATCACAACGTACATAATGAATCTGACCATTTGGAAACATGTCATGACTTATTCATCTTTGTTCATACAGAGTATCCTGATGGATGTCTTACAAACAGTGATGAATGAATGAAGTATTCCACACTTACTCTTGATGATTCTCCAACTTCACCCTCTTGCTCTAGCTCTTCTTTCAGACCCATCTCATCATCTTGTTGCCTGAACAGGAAGTATTCGCTTGGCTGAGATGGGGTAGGGCTGCCTTTGCTGTGCTCATCAGAGCAGCTGTTGACAGAGGAACCTACAGGACTTGGTGAGGACTGGGACGAAAGGTCACAGGTGACCAGTTTGTAGTAGTTCTGCGTGGCAACAACCAGGCGGGCTTGACTCTGTAGGCAGGAAGCAAGGTCGCCGGAGGAGCCTTCATGCGGAGGGTGGAAGGAGTTGCAGTTGGCATCAAGGCCAAAAGTTCCCTGATGCTCTGCTGAGCAGGAGCAGGTGGAGGAGGTGGTCAGGTGTGGTTCAAGGATAAGAGGGAAGTTGTTAGAAAGGCAGGAGGGCTGTTGCTGTGATCGTGGAGGCTCAGTTGGAGAAGTTTGAATGTCCAAATAAAAAGCCCCTCCAGCAGAGTCGTCCTTGTGTCCTGGATTATCTGAAATGTAAGAGATAGAGGAGTGGTCGGTTGAGCTGTTTAGATTGGTGGGCCCAGGAGCTGGCTGCTTCTCTGGGATGCTGTTGTTCATCTTGTTGTAAATGGCGCTGAAGTTGACAAGAACTCCATCAGAACTGTTGCAGGAGGAATCGCTGCCGTAACCTTGTTGGAACTCCAAGAAAGGTTCAGGGAATGCCTCAGGGAAGTGCTGAGGGTAGCTCTGTGAGAGGCCACAGCAGGAGCAGTGCTGAATGGAGGAGCTGGAAGAGTAGGAACCGGTCTTGCTATTTCGACCACATTTCATTGGTTGGTCTTCTTCATCGTCGTCCCCCCAGTCTTGTTCTCCACAGTCCATTGACATGTTGGAGCCACTGCTTCCGTGACGGCACTGACTGTCTAGCCCCAGCATGTCCAGTTCATCAAGATGGTTGGAAAGATCAGAGGTGGGACCTCTCAGTGACTCTCGACTGCCTCGCCTCACAGAACTGTGCAAAATAAAAGGCTCAGAGGCAAAGCCACTGTGCAAGTGAAAAGGCACCACCCTGTCATCCAGCACAGAGTTTGTATCGCTGTGGAGGTGAAAAGAGGAGTCTTCCAGGTAACCACTGAGGTTGTCACCATCTTCTTCCTCATCGTCCTCATCATTATTTTCTGTATTAAGCAGGAATGGATTATGACGCAATGGGTTTCTCCTCCTCGGTTTGGTCCTGGGTAATGTGTGAGCTGTGGTGAGCTGGTCCTCTGAATTGCTTGAGGCAAATGATGAATCATCACTTGCTGTACTTCCCCCTCTCTCGCTACCCTTCTTCTCTCTTCCTCTGTTGTGGGAGGACAAAGAGCCACTAGAAGTCTGGATCAGGCTACTGTATAGCAGGGCTTCTCTCTGAAGAACATCTCGTTCTGGCAAAGATGTGGTACGACTCAACCCCAGGTTTTCTGGTGAGCTGAATGGAGTGCTCCTTTTTAATGAGCTCCCACAGCCACCTTTCCAGCCACCTGAAACCTGACAGTGCACCAAGGGAATGTGATGTACAACCAAGGTTTCACCAGACAGTTTAGGAGGGCTGTCCATTATTCCAGAGGAGAGAAGGGTCTGGGACTGGAGCTACAGTGGTGTGGGTGTGAAAGGTGGAGGCTTACTGACAGTGGTTTTCACACTGCGTCTGCTGAGCCCAGCTCCTCAATTCTGCCACGGAACTGGAGGAAGAGGTCAGGGAAGTCTACACCATGGTCAGAGTGGTACATCTGGAAAACACACCAAGACAGAAGGAGATGAAAATATTATCTGAGCAGACACAGCACAGCAAACACTCACACTAACTCACAAGTATGAAGCTTTCAGGATATTTTGGAGAGTACCTTAAACAGAGCGATGTATAGGTTGAAACACTTGAAACATAGAATGTCTTGTGCATTACTTTTCCCCCCCATGGTTATAAAACAAGTGAATTCATATTATACACACTACTAAACAAAAATTAAGCTTCCCCATTTTGTGCGTTTCCCTGATGTGTTCAATGGCTGTCTTTACTGCAGCCTGAAGTATTACACAGAGATAAAATCATCTGTTATATAAGGCCATTGACATCCTACTGTTTTTACACAGCTTTGTCCTTCTGGTTCTGAATATTTAACTAACACTGACCTAAAAAAGCTGATAGAAAAGGCAACAGTAACAGTCCAAAACTGGAGCCCTGGCGTCCTTAAATTTTGAAGCTGCACTGTGAGATCCATATATGTGACAAACAGCTGACTGACTATGATCTCACCCACATTCAGACCCTAAATATAACACATACTGATACACTCACAATACAGCAAGCCACTTGCTCACTGTCCCGTTTGTTGTCCCTAAAATGATCATCCATAAAATCCTACGATTATCACTTCATTCTGACTCACTTACTTTGGATATAGATATATCCAACTGATTAAATGTTTTAGTTTGACAGAATTTTTTTTTTAAAATCACTATATAGAGATATTGTCTGTAGGATTGATCCGATCGTTATGTTAACAATATCAGATCAACATCAACAAAAATAAAGCTTAAATATAAACAGTGTCCAATTTATGAGATTAGATACCAGTCAATGTTGAGATATTTGGAGATATTAATCATATTATTGGTTTTAGTTTTTCAAGCCTTCGACTTACTCCCTCGAATGAATCACATTAGGACTTGTTAAATAATTTACATCTTCCCTCTTCTTTAATTCCTCCAGTGGAGTGATGGTGAAAAATCAGCAGGTTCAGTGCTAGAGTTATCTTCTGAATCATCAGCTCACCTTCTCCTTACCCCTGGGACAGATTAGTGCTTGCCATGACTAAAAAGCATAAATTACATCCGCTTAATAAAACATAATTCCAGATAGACTTAGTCAATTAAAAGCCACAGTAATTTCAAATTGAATTCTTAAATCATGCTTTACAGATAACTATTAGAGAAGAATGAAGAAGGTGGAATATTTTAATCTTAAACAGTCATTTCCAAGCACAGTTAAAAAAGACTAACATAAAGGCTGCTTCATCACTTTTGTTTGTAAGGAAAAAGAGAGTAAAAGGGCTAGCTGCTACCTTCAGAGAGCAGTTGGCAAAGGGGAGACCAGTATTTTCAGTGGTCTTGAGAGGGCTTTCCCAACAGATGACCTTTTAAATAGAGAATGGAGTGGTATTTGCTGTCAGACAGGCTTCAAGTTCACCTGTGTAGAGCTGAACCATTTACCTCAAAGAAGAGATGGGCTCCAATCAACCCTCGGTGTGCAAATAAATAAACATTTCATTAATTCTAACACACTGACTATTTGTATTCTTACTTGATGAATATTTGATGGAAATCTAAGTTTATTGTTCCACCCGACAGAAGGCAGTTCCATCTCCTAGCAGACTCACCCACACTACTGAGTTTGGGGAAACACTTGCCAACAATTCCCTGTCTCTATGAATGTTCACTAACTTACGCTACTTAAACTCCATCCAGGGGTCGTGGGGGGAACTCATTCTGAACTGGAGCCTATCCCAGTGGTCAACAGGCAAGAGGCAGGGTACACCCTGGACAGTCTGCCAGTCCATCCCAGGGCCAAACACAAGACATACTAGGACAAACAACCACACACGCTCACATTCACTCCTAAGGGCAATTTGGAATGTCCAATCAGCCTAACATGTAGGTTTTTGGACAGTGGGAGGAAGCCGGAGAACTCGGGAGAGAACCGACACAGATACAGGGAGAACATGCAAACTCCACCCAGAAAGGTCCTGGTTCCCCCGGGACTTGAAGCTGGGAGGTGAAGGTGCTAACCACCACACTACCGTTACTTAAACTCATTTTTTCAAATATAAACTCTGACACGATATTTTGCAATGTATGATCTTAATATTTTGAGATTTATGGTGGATAATATCTCGGCCTGCTTCACCTGCTGAAGCCTGAGGATTTCCTTGCAGAAGATCTCAGCACGTATTTCCACCTAAGAAGGACCAAAGCAGCAACCAAAGTAATGGAGAGGAGTTGATGTCGCTCTCACAAGTACGAGATCTAATGAGTCAACAAAGGGATGTGTTCATGCAACTTCTGCAGCACCAAGAAAGCAAATTCAAAACTGTTGTGGAATTACATGTGAACAATATGAATACTCGTATTGACAAATTGACCCGGGAGACACAAGAACTGAGAAGTAGCCTGCGATTATCCCAGAAAGTCATTGATTATCTTAACTAAGAAAAATTAGAAAACTGAATCGGAGAGAACTACTTATGCTGAAACTAAGGCAATGCAGGAGAAATTGGCTGAGATGAATGAGAAGCAAACTACTTGGAGAGTCAAACTAGAAGAAATAACCTTGCTGTGGATAGCATTCCTGATGCCATCCGTACCTCTATCCCCCCCACAACCCCTTCTGTGGTCCCCTCTACCTCTATCTTTTGCTGGTACCACTGATTCTGATCATTGTTTCTCTATATAGCTTATTGTCATAGTGATGATAAATGTAATATTGTGTCTACTCTGTAAGTCGCTTTGGATAAAAGCGTCTGCCAAATGCATAAACATAAACATGCCCAGAATGAAAGCTGGAAGGAGCCCGAAGACAAAGTCATGTGTATGATCAAATAGAAGCTTCACCTGGACAGTAGTCAGATGATGATTGAACATATACATAGAACTGGGAATCCAACTGGATATTCTGGAAAGAGACCTAGGCCTATTATGATCAAAATCCTCAGATACAAAGATAAAATGGCTGTACTGGGAAAGGCTGAGAAACTGAAAGGCACCAACATTTATGTGAATGAGGACTAAACCGAAACTGTCAGGCAAAAGCGTAGGGAACTCATTCCAGCCATGAACGCTGCTAGAGAAAGAGGGGACATCGCCTAACATAACAAGCTTATTGTTCATCCCCCTTTCCAAAAGCATAAGGATTAGAAAAGCACCAACGGCCAGGAGCTGGAGGTAGGGACTGGTTCTCTGGTTTCTTGCACTTTGTGCTCATATCGACTGAACTGAACTAAAATGTTTTCCCTCAAGTTAAAAAAAACATTAAATTATTAAATTATTTTTCTTTGATGGACAGTAGGCTCACTGATGATAATGATCTCCTTCCTGTCTCAAAGGGTCTTGTTATGGCCAATTTGAAGGTTTGCAGCATCAGAAATGAGGTACATGAACATAGTTATCTGATTAAGGAAAACACCATTCATATATTGGCCATATCAGAAACCCACCTGGCTGGTACTGTTCTTGACATGGAGATTTCCATTGACGGCCATAATATTTTAAGAAAGAATAGGGATAAGACATGGGGGTGGCATAGTATTATATATCAGATATAAATTTCCAGCAAAACCGTGCTCCGAGTTTACCTTAGATAGTTTAGAATATTTCTGGGTCAAAGTGTATCACCTTGAGCTGGTGCTGATCGGATGCTGCTATAGACCTCCTGAGTCTGATGTGCAATACAGTGCCTTCCAAAATTATTGGCACCACTGTTTCAGATGTGGTCGAGGACTACTGAAAATTCTCCTTTTTTTAAAAACAACATAGAACCCAAATTAAATAAAAAAAGAAAAATCCAACCTTTTATTTAAGTATATTACTGTGGTGGTAAAAACAAAATCACAAATTTAGAAAATAAAAAACGTGAAATCATGTGTCTGGCAATTGTTTGCACCCCGAACAATATAGCTGAAATATTTAATCCCTTTCCTTTAAATATAATTTTCTGTAGTTGATAAAAGTTGTCATGGTATCTAGAAAATTTTAATTAGTAATTCATGACTTCCTGTTTCCCTGGAGTATAAATCTGATGTGAAACAGAGGCCTAATTCTCTTATCCATTTGTCAACATGGCAAAGACAAGAGAAAACATAATTAAAGTAAGGCAGATGTGTGTCGACCTTCATAAATCCGGCAATGGCTACAAGAAAATAGCCACTCGCCATAACTTGCCCACGTGTCTACAGTCAGAGGAATCATTAAGAAGTTTAAAACAACTGGAACAGTGACAAACAAGGGTGGAAGAGGTCCCAAGTTTATCTTGCCACAAAGCACAGTGAGGAGGATGGTAAGAGAAGTAAAAACAAATCCTAAGCTCAGTGTCACAGAATTGCTTTAAAGAGTGGAATCTTGGGGTCACACAATCTCCAAAACAACCATCAGACGCTCTCCACATGCCAACAAGCTGTTTGGGAGGCATGCAAGGAAAAAGCCTTTTCTCACTAACATTCACAAGTGTAAACGTCTGGAGTTTGCTAAGCGACACTGGGACTTCAACTGGGATAGTGAGCTTTGGTCAGATGAGACCAAGATTGAGCTTTTTGGAAACAAACACTCAAAGCAGGTCTGGCGTAAAACAAAAGATGAGTATGTCAAAAAGCACCTCGTTGCCACCATGAAGTATGGTGGAGGATCTGTGATGCTGTGGGCCTGTTTCTCTTCCAAAAGCCCTGGGAACCTTGTTAGGGTGCATGGCATTATGACCGCTTTGAAATACCAGGACATTTTAAATAAAAACCTGATGGCCTCTGCCAGAAAGCTGAAGATGGGTCTTCTTTGGGTCTTTCAGCAGGATAATGATCCAAAACATGTGGCAAAATCTACACAAAAATGGTGCATCAGGGGGGGCGCTAGTGCGCAGCTGCAGGATGTAGACGTGTTGGTTTGCGCTCTCCACCACAACTTTAAATAAATATCTAAAAACCACGATAAAAACATCCAGGACCCGGTGCTGTTGGTTTTGCACCTCTGAC